AATAAAAATCATCCACCAAGTTGCCAATCACAGTCAATAAAAATCATCCACGATGCACCAAAGTGTCAACATTTTCCGTACATCACAGAGCCTCATTTGCCGAAGAGGTCTCATGTATATGATGTAGCAGTGATATTTAGGCATTCTAACCCCAAACCCATCTGCCAGTCATCTCTACCATTTCACAGAGTACTGAGCGACCCACCACCGCCTCATGATACCCAAAAAAGATTCTATAAGAATACACTGTCAGTAGTGAGCTTGGTTAGTTCTCTCAAGCTTGGCCTTTGGAGACTCCTTTGAGGTTAGTTCTCTGTTCTTGAAAACCAATTAATTAATCAATGTCCATTCCATAATGCATGCATGTTTTGATGGGTTTGGATTATCAAAGTATTCAACTTGATTGGATCTTGAAGCATTCTACATCAGTTCTGGGATTTGTTTTCCGGGAATTGCTCTTCTTGCGGTGGACAGATTTGAGTATTTTCTTACATGCTATCATATATGTTTGGTTGCTGAAGAAACAAGTGGAAATGAGAATCAAATTGAATCCATTGATTATTACTTTTTATTTGGCTTTACAGAAAACGAAAACCCACTTTTCATTTTGTTTGGTAAATTATTGAGATACCTAACTGCTGAAATTTGAAGGATTGGAAACATAGTAATATATTTGGTTTCCTGCGTTCTTTTGGAGCATCGTTATAATGATATGTATTATTGATTGTAATTGGGAAACTGGAGGGTTGTGAATTTTCCTGCTGTATGCAACAAACTTGGTTTGTAAACCACTTCATAATTGTCAATTATCATTCTATAAATTAACCTCATTTACAGTTCTTACTTGGGTGGTTGGAATATTTCTATTTGTTTTCATTAGATAGAGTAGTCAAGTAAATGGGTTCTTATCCGTTATTGGTCACGTGGGAGAGGTGGAAATAGATAATTACTGCCTCTTTGCAGATGATCAATGGTTTAAATCTGGTGGTTGAATTGCAGGGTGGGTGTTGAGCACTAAACTAACCACTGGGTCACTGACTGTCAAGTGCTGAAATCTGTGGAAATGTCAATACCCAATTCAGACATGTCTCAGAATGGAAATATAAGGCATGTTGATGCCTTATGTAGTGTGGCAGAAATTGAAGAAATTGATTTTTCAAAGTTGTTAGACCGACCAAGCTTTCTGAATATGGAGAGAAAAAGATCATTTGATGAAAGGTCACTCAGTGAACTATCTGTTGCGTTGTCCCCGCGTCACTCATCAAGAAATGCTGATAACTCCTCCAGATTTTTTGACCATCCTGAATATGTATTTTCGCCCAGTAGAACGTCATTCATTGGCACCCCTAGGTCACTGACTGGCTTTGAGCCACATCCAATGGTTGCTGAAGCCTGGGAAACTTTGAGGCGTTCGTTGGTGTTTTTCCGTGGTCAGCCAGTTGGGACAATTGCTGCAACAGATACCTCTGAAGAAAAACTTAACTATGATCAGGTAGAGACCTCCTCTCCTTGTTCGTCGTATTAAATGTACATATTCTTGGAACGTTGAGTCTGCAATAATAGAGAGAACCTAAGACTTCATTGTTTGTATATCTCCATTTGTTTATGTTTTCAATCTTTTGGTTATAGTATCACCCTACAAATACACACACACGTAAGGAACATTTATGATGTTTTTGCATTGAAGACATGAGTTATTGTGACACATCCATATAGTAAACAAATTTGAAATGCATTCTGTTATCCTTCGTCAGTCCCTTAGTCGTCTTGGGGAGCCACATTTTCAGTTTTTGATGACCACCATGTTTATATGTATACAGGTCTTAGGAATTTTGATACATGCATACAAACAGGCTTAGGCACATTGTCTGCCTGGGGGCAGGGGGGGCGGAATACCCGAGTTTCCAAGCTTTATAATTAACTTGCTGATTTAATGTTCCAATAATATATTTCAAACTGTGGGATATGTTCTGCCTTGGATATTCCTTATGCAGGACATATTTTTTTATATGTTGAACAAACTATATTAGTTTCAACTTTCAACTTATCCAGTTCTCCATTTGTGCTTTTCTTTAACTCTGATTTACCAGGCAGAGTTTCTGTTCCATGAAGTTGGCAATCACAAATTTTATTCTTATTTTTTCTTCTTATGCATCTGTGAAGGTGTTTGTCAGAGACTTTGTCCCTAGTGGATTGGCTTTTTTGATGAATGGTGAACCTGAAATAGTTAAAAATTTTATCTTGAAGACTCTGCGTCTTCAGTCATGGGAGAAAAAGATTGATAGGTTCCATCTTGGAGAAGGAGTAATGCCAGCTAGTTTCAAAGTACTCCATGATCCAGTCAGGAACAGTGAGACTTTAATAGCAGATTTTGGCGAGAGTGCGATAGGAAGAGTTGCTCCTGTTGATTCTGGATTTTGGTGGATCATATTGCTTCGAGCATACACAAAATCCACTGGAGACTCTTCATTGGCGGAACTTCCTGAATGCCAGAAGGGTATGCGGCTTATTCTAAGTTTATGTCTAACGGAGGGGTTCGACACATTTCCAACCCTTCTTTGTGCTGATGGATGCTGCATGATTGATCGTAGAATGGTAAGATTTTCATAATTATGTTGAGTCCTGTTTTTCTATCATCTGGTATGAATCAGGCCATATATGCCTAATATCATGAGTCCACCACAGTCAAAGCCCTTTGATGCAGGGCATGTAGGACCTAAGTTTATTAGTTTCCTAGATTCTCTAGTTTTCCAAATTCTAGTAGGATTTCTACTTTTCCAGATTTCCAGATTTCTAGTTTTAAGTTTCCTATTTTATTTGGGTTAGAATTTCTGTTTAAGCAAGGGATTTTTATCCTGTTATGTCTAGGTTTTAGTTTGCTATAAATACCCCCATGTAGTTCTTTAAAATTCAGATTTGAATGTTGAGTAAACCTTTTCCTAGAACTCTCTGATTTCATCCCTTCGATCTATATTTCTTCTCCTCTATCTCCGATATTCTTCTTTGTTCTACTGCTTCTGTCCTTTATCTCGTCTTTTCGATCTCTATTTCTTCTCCCCGGTCTCTTATATTCTTCTCCGTTCTAGTATTTGAGTGCTTAATCTAATACCTACGGGCTGTACTACATCACCCTTAAAATATTAGCATATGCATAAGTTGTTAGTTTTGCAGCTAGTAACTTAGTCTACAACATTCAGAAACTCAAATCATCCTTCTGTGAGTAACTCTAATATTGAATTTCGTGTCAACCTGGTCAGCCTTCTCGTTTGTTTAATTGTCTAGGAGGATGGAACTTGGATCTAACGTATTCGAATTTGAGTCGATATTTTCTTGTCTGCCAAAACAAATGAATCTCCCAGTTAGTGCCTTCTTCCTCATTATCTGAGTGCAGCATTCGAAATTATATTGTAAATCAGGTTTGTTGTAAAGGCTTAAGAGCTAAGTCACTCACTTGCCATGTTAACCCCAAGATATCTCTCCCTGAAGGATTGTTTAAGGTTCTTATGACCCTGGCAGAGGTAAATTCATGCAACTAAACCCATCGTGATGTTTTGGTGCAGAGACTTTTGAGAACTTTTAATCTCCCCATCAAATTTTCAGCTTGCCATCAATTAAATTGCAAAAAACAAAAACAAAAGCAAAAGAAAGTTAATTTAGATTACATTTTCTTGTAATATGAAGCACTGTGGGCACTCTCTTGTTAGAGCATTCATTGATCTTCATCAGTCATCACTACTAGCTGCTTTCAATTTTGTGTTTTAAGATAAATGTGCTGCTTTTTAAGATTTTGGTTTTGTGTTGCCTATCTTTTCAATTCCTTAGGCTCACTTCTGTATTGGTTTTGTGTTTTCAGGGTGTCTATGGGTACCCCATCGAAATTCAGGCTCTTTTCTTCATGGCTTTAAGATGTGCTTTGCTGTTGCTTAAGCAAGATGATGAGGGGAAGGAGTTTGTAGAGCGCATAGTAAAACGCCTTCATGCCTTGAGCTATCACATGAGAAGTTACTTTTGGCTAGACTTTAAGCAGTTAAATGACATATATCGATATAAAACTGAAGAGTACTCACATACAGCGGTCAACAAGTTCAATGTGATACCAGATTCTCTTCCAGACTGGGTCTTTGATTTTATGCCAACTCGTGGTGGTTACTTTATTGGGAATGTCAGTCCCGCCAGAATGGATTTCCGTTGGTTTTGCTTGGGTAATTGTATAGCAATTCTTTCATCGTTGGCAACCCCCGAACAATCCATGGCAATAATGGATCTCATAGAATCACGATGGGAAGAATTGGCAGGAGAAATGCCACTAAAGGTTTGTTATCCAGCTATAGAAAGTCATCAATGGCGGATTGTAACAGGCTGCGACCCAAAAAATACGAGATGGAGCTACCACAACGGAGGGTCTTGGCCAGGTATGCTTGCACTCAATAGCCTCCTCTGTACAAAATTTTACCGTAACTACTGATGGCATTATGGAAATTGCACAATAGATCAGTAGAAAAAGATTGGAAAAAGAGAACTTCTCCCCTGCTCCCCATCTTTCTCCCATGTCGCCTCCTTCACCCCTCCTTTGGCCCATTCTGCTGGACCAATTCTGCAGTTTACATGAAAGCATATTGAATCTTTACTCAACCAACTCTTATTCTTCACTAATTTGTAGATTTCACCCTCTTTTGTCCACATTCCTCTATCCATGGTGCAAATTTCTTTTTCCCTATAATTCAGCGTTTGAAATTTTTCAAGACAGCATCGACGCTATTTTGGCATGGACTGAATGTCTGCAAATAATTGCAGACGAGATGAGAGAATATAGGGGTTTTCTAGGACAGAGCAACGAATGCAACTTGCAAGTAGAGTAGGAAGTTTCATAACTATTTTACTCCATAAATTTTTGGAGAAGTTATCATTTTTGTCACTAGAAAGGTTTTGGTCATGAGTTATTAGCAGTGAATTGAGATAAAAACTGTAGTATTTTTACTTTGCCTAAAGCTTGATTACTCTACATATACCTGTGTATACATCTCAGCGTGATAATTAAATGATGTGGCGATGTTGTTGTTAGGGTGTTCCTTTATTTTTCCTGCCATTTACATGTTGTCATTGTGGTTGATACAGTGCTGTTATGGCTTCTCACTGCTGCATGCATCAAGACTGGGCGGCCCCAGATTGCTAGACGTGCCATTGAACTTGCTGAGAGCAGGTTGCTGAAAGACAATTGGCCTGAATACTATGATGGGAAACTTGGTCGTTACGTTGGGAAGCAGGCCCGAAAATTCCAGACCTGGTCAGTTGCGGGGTACTTGGTAGCAAAGATGATGTTGGAAGATCCGTCTCATTTGGGTATGATAGCGCTCGAGGAAGACAGACAGATGAAGCCGGTAATGAAGAGATCAAATTCGTGGACTTGCTAAATTTGATTGGTCAACCTATGACCTACTCGCCTGGTTTTGTGTTGGAGTTGTTACTGTTCATTAGAAGTCTTTTGAGCACAAGTCAGCACCAAAATGCCTTCATTCAAAACTGCTGGGAAAGTAGGAATTATCTGGATGCTACATCATGGATGAATTTAACACTCGGTCTCATCGGATAAAACCAAGTTGGACTGGATTATTGCCCAAATTAGTTCCCCAGGATTTCTTTGAGTTCTCAGATCATGTTCCCTGAATGGGTTAAACCAATATACGTTCCTGATAAAATGTTGTACATGTAGAATTCCTCTTTCCTTTTCTTATTGGACATGCAGAATTCCTCTTGAAATATGATTCTAGACAAAACAAAACAAGAAATAGAATTTCCAAATTCCAACTTGTGTTGGATACTGAAATTTTTTTTGACCTACAGTTTTATAATTATTTACTATATTACGTATATACACGTACGCAATGGTCTCTGCTAACCAACGAAACATAAAAGTTGTTTCTAAAATGAAGGAGAAAAAAAAAAACGGTGCCTTGTCATCCAAGAGTGTTTGGATTCGGATTAGCGCCTCTTGTTCTCTAAAAAACTTCGATGCTTATTTTAGTATTTGAAGTTATTATATGCATCATATGGGCATTGTGGTAGTCGTTTGATATCAGGCATAAATGCATCAGATTTAAGAAAATGATTTTTAATAAACAATAACAGGTTTTTTTTTTACAAATTTATAAATAAATCCAATCCTAGACATGTATTTATAAAAAAACCCAAGCACTATTTAAACATAGAAACACACCCAAAATCAACCCCAAAATCAACTTTTTGGGTGTGTTTATAAATGGGTTTTGAGGTGTAATGATGAGTTTTGAGTGTGTTTATAAAGTGTTTTGGGTGTTGAGTTTTTTTATAATTTCAACCTCTATTTTGGGTTTTTTAGTGAAACTCCCTTTTTTTTTTTAAAGGTTCTTTGTTGAACTGAGAGAAAAATGACATCAATTCAATACTTCCTGAACAGAAGTTCCTTTCCTGAAAAGCGATTTTAAAACCCTGTTTTTGTTTTCCTTTTCTGGCCTTGGTTCAAAAACTTGTCTACAATGTTGTTTTCTTGGTTTGCAATTTCAAGAACAAAAAATTGTAAGAATGAAAACCAAACTTGCGTGCATGCCATCAGAATTGTGCCTTTTAAACCATCCAAGGTAAGAATATATTCATTATGGATAAAAGTAAAAATAAAGTTATACGTATGGAAATAAAAAAAATTTCTCACCACTGTATACAAAATAGAAAGGGCTCGACTTAAAACTGCAAAATCCCTTCAGGGTGGAAGTCTCAACAAATTCAGCGAGGATGACCGGAAATGTCTAGCTGCAACTTGGATGAGCAGTTAAGCACCTTTCTATACAATCTTAATACCTCAAAACAATGAAGAATGAAGCAGGAAACCCTTTTGCTGTCTATGAAACTAAATTGTAACTGCTTATCTAAAGGCAATGCTGAAGCTACTTTGCAACCCCTTCTTACCCGGGCCAACAAAATTTCCTTTTTGCATCATGGCCACAAACTCGTTGTAATCTATGCGCCCATCCTGCAATAAAAAAAAGGAAATTTACATGGGTAACTCTCACATGCAAAAAGATCAGAAGGCTGGCTTGACAGAACTCATCCCTTGTGCAATAAATATTAGTATAAACATGTAGTAATGAAACAAAGACAAGGCACGGATTCTTGACATACTCATTCCTCTTTTGGGTCATCACGAGTTCTAAACCCCAAATCCACTGTACTATTTCAAACAACATTACCATGATAGTAAAAGAGCTTTTGCTTGACATTTAAGTCATTAATTTTGTTTGAATTCATTTCTTAGGGTCGCAAAGCAGACATGCAGTTTGACCAAGTTTCATGCAAACTGTTTTCTAATCGGTCACCAAAAGGCTACTGGGTGCATACAAAAGCAATACTATTGACACAGTTTGACTGTAACAAATTTATTACATAAACTGACGCAGCAATTGAGTTTGCAGCCACCCATACTCACATGATTAATTGGTGCGTTTAGCATGCCTCTTAAGTATGCTAGCAAACCAAAAATGGAACTGCCATGTCAGTTTATAAAATAATTTTTTTTGTATAACTCTTTGTAACTGTCGCATCACCCTTCGAATATGTGAACCTATTGCATTACTCTCCAAATAATGCTAGTTTACTATTGAATCATCCCAAGTTTAGACACTTGGGATCCATGCCTTATTTTGAGCCACATCATCAACTACTTCCCATCCTAATACCAATGATGTATTGTTAACATAGAATCACTTACATTGTCCTGATCAACTTCTCGTATCATTTCTTCAAGGCGAACATCCTCTATGCCAAACTCCTCACAAGCTAGTTGAAGCTCATCTGGAGTAATATAGCCACTTCCATCCTTGTCAAAGTAGGAGAAAGCTGCAAATAGATGATCTTCTCTCTCAATTTTGTTTAGGTGCAATGTTGCAGCTACGAATTCTCCATAATCAATGGTTCCACTGTTATCTACATCTGCCTGCAAATCAGAAAATGCGTTACTTATGATCTTAAAGAATCTCTGCAAAACGATATTATTAACTTGCACTCCCTTTAAGAAAGGCATTCTAACCTAGAAAGAAAATCTGTGTAATTTGTGACACGTGACAATTAAGCGTTAAACTTCTAAATGTGGGCATATTCGCTTCTTTTTCACCTTAAACAAGAATAGTTTATCTATCAGGAACTTTACTATTAAAAAATAAACTCTAGATCTTCTAATCTTTTACAAATCTAGAATTATTTTTACCTCTAAGATTCTACCATCGTACGAATCTAGTCGCATTTACCCCTATTTATGAAACCATAAGTTCTATAAGTGTTGATAAACAAATTGTATGCTGGCTTTTGTTTTTGGGCCAACCACATGAGGTGCATCCGTAGTTTGCCCATGTCAATATTTTATCTTCTCCTGAAGAGGCCATTCTATATGAACCAAACTAATTTCCCTCTATAGCCACCTAAAAATTAACTGTATTATTCTTTAAAAAAATTCTTTCATTTTTTTAACATCAGAAAAAAAACTTGCATTCATTTTTTCATTTCTTTAAAAAAAGGTCACTGTGGCTGGAATGACCATGGTGGCTATGACCAGAAAAAACGCACTGGCCAGAGAGTGTAAGACAAAGTGTGGCGGCAGTAGAGCTAAGAGAGAGAGGCATGTATCTAGTACTTTGGTCAAGTCTTCTAGGGGTAAAATATGTGTTCCTGCTATTCTACTTCTGACTTCCTGAAAAAAATAATGAATTACTAGAGTTGAAAGTACTCCAACTTTGATCTTGTACGTACTGCTTGCATTAGATCATAAATTTCAGACTCCTTGAGATTAGCTCCAAATCTTTTCAATCCAGCCTTAAGTTCCTCAAAAGTGATTTGACCACTGTTGTCAGCGTCTATTATCTTGAACATTTCTTTGAGGCCAGCTATTTCTTCTTCAGATAAGCTCTCTGCAATGACCTGGAAAAAATTAAAAAAGAAATTATCATCTTGGTGAAAGACGATCCAAAAAACACTTCGTTTAAGTTATTAATCAAAGTTCCAGCCAAAAGACAAAAGTTATTAAGTATTTCAATACGTTTTATGCAACAACTTCAAATATTTAGCGCTCCAAATATCTAATGTTTGTGCCAGGCACATTCAGATACTTACTCTGAGAGCCATTTTTTTGAGCTTGTTCATTGCTGAAAATTGCTTTAAGCGACTTAGAACTGCAGAATCAAGAGCCTTGTCAGGAGCCACACCATCAACTTGCACCCAGGGATGACCTGAAAGGAATAAAACCCATGTAATCAATTAAAAGAAAATGACATGCTAAAAATGATCACAACAAAATACACATAACTTAAAATGCCTAAAAGTGTAGCAGCCGAAGTGATCCTTGCGCTTTCCTAAGAGGTTTAAAAAATAAGATCCGACTTCCACTGCTGTGTTAAGGTTTTTTAAACATCATAGTAATGTATAAAACCTTTATATCTCTATTTAATCATTAACAATCACATCTACTCTAACCTTATATTGCCGATTTGAAAGACAAGGTAAATTTTTTAATACCAAATAAAGAAAAACAACACTGATAAGACACATAATACACAAATGATTAGGCAGGAAATTGTCTTTTCTTTCTTTTTAAGTATATGAGGTAGATGCTGCACACATTAGAGCTCACAAAAAGAACTGAAAGGGTGAACATCAATGGGAGAATTACTCAGCAGTCATTTTTGCACCTGTTTTTGTTCAACTTCCACTTTCTTTTATCCTTTTTGGACAGCACATCAATATTAAGATTTTTTAACAGACCAGAAGAGTACTTAAGGCCTATGACCTAGAAAGCTCCAAGTAGAGCAATCCAATGGTGATTTGGAAGAAATTAAGTACAAATATGTATTCCAGTACAATCCTTTTTGGATTCTGATTAGTCAAATACCCTAGCCACAAATAAAAATCCTCAAATTTCACAATCAACAATCCTGAAAGAATATATATATATATAAACATTGAAAGGGACTCACACAAAACTTCATGTGCAGTCATTCGCCTTTTAGGGTCTCGAACAAGCATCCTTCTCACTAAATCTTTGGCACCATCAGAAATACTAGGCCAAGGGTCAGATGCAAAATCGAGGTCACCATGCAAGACCTGTTCAAAAATTCCTTGCTCGTTTTCTGTGGAATCACAACAAAGTAAAGTAAAAACAAGAAAATGGGGAAAATTATTACAACAATCAAAAGTAAGATCATATTTATTAAAGCATAAAAGAACATCAAGAATCAAATGTATATCAAGCCAAAAGTTCTCACCAGCCCAAAATGGAGGTACACCACTTAACAGAATGTAAAGGATCACTCCAGCACTCCAGACATCCGCTTCTGGACCATAACGCTTTCGTAAAACTTCAGGTGCAACATAATATGGGCTTCCAACCACATCACTAAATTTTTCTCCTGCAAGGAGGCAACCACGGATCTTTCAACTCTAGATTCCATCATTAAATTCTGAAAAGTTTAATCTTCAACTCTAGTTATTATTTGTTAAAAAAAATAAAGTACCAATCAGTCAAAAGAGCACAGACAAGAAGCATGCTTCACCAAACTAAGTTCGGAAACCATGCACAGAAAAGGAGTTAATGTATGGTTATTTGCATTACAATAAAATCGTATCCAATGCATCCCAGAAATTTGTATGGATTCAAATATTATATTGAAATTTCCACTGATGGAATCTATCTTTTCGACTATTAAAACTTTAACAAAGTATTCTATTTTTTTGGTAACAAGCTTTTGTCATGAAATTCCAAAATTT